CCCCATATCCGGATATCAGCGGATATCCGGATGGGAAGGGGACCACCCTCTAATCATGGAAGAGCCACCCATCCCAAAATACCTCCTTCAACAGGGTGATATACTGTCTTTCAACCAATCCAACTCAGATAAACCGGAGGATCTTGCTTATTCCAGCTCAATTTATAACATTCACACTGATATACTTTCAAAAAAATATCAAGCTTTGCAGAACTAAGTCAAAAAAGAAAAACAAGGAACTGGTGGAAAAACAAAAGCAGAATGAGCTTACTGGAGGACTTCCCGTCAACATCTGGGGGTCTCCCAGAGTCGGTTTAGAGCCTTGAATTTCAAATTTCTCTGCGAGAATTAAGAGGTTTCCGGTCTAGATTGACTTCTGCAAGGGTCCCAGATCCAATGGGAAGTCCTCCACTTAATCCAACAAAGAGTGGATGGATAATGTGGTGAACTTGATTGAAAACCACAAAGTGGTTTTTCTCTCCATTAAACCCATGAAATCATCATTTGATGGAGAGAAATTCCAGGTCTTCCCTCACCTCTTTGTTAACCCATAAAACCATGAGTTAATGAAGGGAATTCTCTAAACCCATGAATCATGGGTTAATAGAGAGCCTGTTCCTTCACCCATACTCTATATTAACCCATAGTGTTTTGTGTCCACCAAGGGGTATGGGTTAATACAGAGTTGACTGTACGTAGTAATAAATATTTACATGCATCAATCTGCCGGACTGCATAATCCTCTCGGGTTTCATTTGTTTCGTGTATGAATGTAACTGCGAATTTCTTGGGCGTCTCATGATGGATTGGCTCGTGGTTCCATCATTTGGGAATGCACATTACTTGGTGTGCCTCAGCTGGGTTCTTACCTGCTCCTAGTACTCCTGTCTGCTGGTTTGGTTGCCCCAGTCACATTATAAAGGTTTGGCACTTTGCGTCTTTCAACCCTTCATCACGTTCGAGCGCCTGAAAATACTTTCTCCACTGAAATTAGGGTTTAGACCCGGTCACCGACTACTCGGCAGTACTCGACCGGGTACGGGTTGGTTCGAGTTCCGGGTAGACTCGAGAGACATCCGAAAACCGATCGGATCCATGCACAGGGCGAGACTGTAGCATGATCTCCCTGTCCTTGGGTCGGGATCGAACTGACGACCTCTTACGACACTCTTGTTTCTTGCAGAACAGTGCCTTTTGAAAAGACCCGGCAGACCCGACGCCGGGTTCGGTTATACCGGGTTGGTTGCCGGGTCAGGCAATACTCGACCCGGTCGGCCGGATCTAAACCCTAACTGAAATGTGCTGATCAGTCAGATTGTCCCGGTCGAAAGAAACACCAGAAACAACTCGGAAGAATCATTGAACACCTTCAAGAAATGTACCCCTTAATGAACTATGTTATTTGTCTATCCGTGGTGGCCAGCGTATTAATTCCAACAACGTTAGGACAACCAGTCGATCGCCAAGTGATCTGGCTCACCGAAGAACCATTGCATGGCTGTCAGATCGTTACAATCGATCCGACAACTCGATTTCCGTGGAAACCAGAAAATGAGGCAGTCAATAATCCCTTCGCACCAGGTTCATCAAACGCCGCTGAAACATCCAGTTCGACCGCGCGTCCCGACCCTACACCGTTATTTAACTTTGTCGGTATGGAAAGTGCTTTCCCCAATGATCCACGTCCCGATACCGTCCGCATACACAACCATTCTGGCCAAGATCTCTGGGTTTGGACTAGAGCGGCCACCGTGAAAGAGCGTGTCAATGCCAACTGCGAACGCAGTATAAGATTAGATCTATCGTTTCCGTACTTGTTAGCCGCCCCATGCGATATTGATCGTCGTGTTTTACAACATAGTACAACGTGGAAAATCGTTGCCAATGAATTGGGTCTGGAAGAGAAGACCTCAGGCTCAAGTTGCAATTGTCTGTAGCCCTCGCAGCTAGAAGGAACAACAAACTTAACAGCCTGAAAGCTGAAATGATCTCGACGTCTTGACTTTTGCGGAATACTTGAACCTGTGATTGATTTAATGTTCTCAACTGACCTTAGATATGTTGTGAAATGATTCGCTCCACACCTTGATAAATATTGGAAGTTGGAACCCAATTGTCACGTCCCTCCAAAAACTCCAAGACAACATGTTGGCAGTTGGTCCCAGGTGACCAGGAGTCCTGTTTACTATGGAGATATGAGCCCACATGAACCTTGACTATTTGACTCTTCAGCTCAATTCATCTCTCCTGAATAGTTCGCCTAAATCATTATAACGTCCTTGGCTTTTAAATACCATCTAGGAGAACTTGAGAAGTCCCTGCCCCCCTTTGTTGGAACGGGACAGCTGGCCCCTGGGGCAATGAAAACATGAAGCCATTTGATTACAACCGCTGCCTTGTTGCACGTGGAATGATGATCACAAGTAAACAAACAATTGAACCCGAAATTCAAGTTGGGAGAAGTAAGATATGGAATACAACTTTTGTGAATCATTTGGCCTGCTCTTTTCTTAAGGTATACTTTTGCGGGTAATCTCATGGATTCTTATCAAGAATATTGAATTCACTTATGATTCCAAGTGACATTTTGCGTAGACAAACGAACACGCCTGATTTCGCGTGCAGACCTCCCATGACCCTCAAACTTGAGCTAGAAAATTCATAACGCGGATTTGAGACAAAAGTTGACCCTAGATCTCCCTAGATAGCACCCTCTGTAGGTTCTATCTGCCCAAACGCCTTTTGACGAAGTCTCATGATTCCTTGGGCCATGACCTTTAGACTGATACACACCGGCCAAGCCTTCCTTGCTACGGAATTTGTCACTCATTTGCAACAAACAAGTCCGGCAACCGGACCCTGTCTCAATGTCTCCCATTGCGTCCCCTCCATGTCGATTCCTCTTTCATCCCTATGTTCATGACGAACTGTTCCAAAGACCATCAAAAATCACATCCAAATCGTTCCGGCCCGTGCATCACCAGAAGATTTCTTGCTTCCTCCTAAATATCCTGATTTGCATATCAAGAATACGAGGTAAATCCTTTTGATCGATCAATCTGTTGAACCGAGGAGTAGCCCAGCAGCAAATAACTACCTGGTACTGCCTCCAGAATACGCCAAAGGAGGCAATTTTTCGAGAATCAGTTTGGAGTATTCTCTCTGAAGGCATCTGTCCAAGCGTCATTAAGCGTCTATCAAAAGAATCTACTTGGTGCATCCGCAAGATGAAGCACCTAAGATCTGTATTCGTCGTTGCAACGATACTCATTACCTCGGTCAAAGCTCAATTCTTTTACAAAGTTGTAAACCACGGTCAGGGCGCAGCCATACCCGAATATCACGTCTTCAAAGTTGATGGAGGAACGATGTCCCCCGCAGGCGAATTCCCATTTGCGCTCAACGACTGTAGGGGCCACTACCTGCACTTGACCAACGAAATGATGGTCGATGTTTGGCTCCAACGCGGGGAAGCTGATACTGAGATCGTGAAATTGTCACCTAATGCCGCGGTCGGTTTCTCCTACAACAAAGAATACCCTTGGATAGTAGCCACCATCACCCAAAGAGAAGTGCCTCTTACTAGAGCCGAGTTTAGAGAAATAGTAGATCCGGTTGCCAAAAAGTTCCATGAAAAATACAACACATCAGGTCTGAAGGGGTTAACCAAAAAATTCAAGTTACTCTTGGGATCAAAGTCACAAAATTAACTTCATACATCTCTGCATTATGACAAAAATTTTGATACAGCAACTTCAAGTCACATTTCCAAGTGGTTAAAAATGAATTTCAGAGAAGAATTTTTCAAAAGGAATATTAATTTTTTTATAGAATTCATCAAAAATAGCACACTTCTTGATTCTTTAGGAATACTTTGTTTGTCCTCATAAAATGAAATAAGAATTTGATACAATTTGATCTTGATTTCACTTTTTTGTAACACAATTTGAAATTGCTGAAAAAAATGAGATCAAAAACAGGAGAATTCCTCTTCAAATCAGTTTTTCATTTTTTATGATATAACTAGGCCCAGTTTGGACGGCCTGTTGTGTGTGATGATTCATCACATTTATAACATGCGGCCCCCATATTTTCTGGACTTTTTTTGCAAAGTTTGGGTATAATGGGGGGCCTATTCATGACAGATAACGGGCTGTCCAAATGGGGCCTTAACCATTATTTGAAGCCCATTATAAAACACTGCACATATCAATCCTGAGAACTAACAATGGCATATCCAGAATATAGTATGAGCCCATGTGTAACAGATCTTCAGTCTGTTCCTGGATGTGCACATATATACATCCATATTTTTAAATGATTCAAGCCACTTTCCAGAAACAGAAACCAAGCATCATGTGGCCATGTGGAGTGAAAGTCCCTCACGAGCCCAATCACTTACCCAGATAAATTCATTGTGTGACACCAATTTTGCAGACCACCATTCAAGTCTTAAAACTAGGCCAACAAACATTGGTTTTTGAGGAGGTCTGTATACATGATGTAGTACTAGAGAGGCCTTGAATGTTGAAGTAAAAACTGATTGAAAATTCTATGTGACTTTTGTATGATTTTATGCTTTTTTCAGAAAAGTGGAGGACTTCCTGTTGTCTAAATTTGTAAATCTACAAGGAAGGGCTGAACCTTATTGGCTGGTAAAAATTGTTCTACCTCAAGATTTCACCAGCAAACAAAGTTTAGCCAGTCTGTCTAAATTAAGCCATCTGGTTGACAGGAAGTCCCTCCATTCTACTACCTAGCCATCATTTAAGGGGGTTGGAAAAAAAACTCCCATTTCTTAGCTGACAGTTCCCAAATGTTCCAGGACATTGAGTGGACCACAGGAAGACCACTTCTGTACAAGTTTCAGACTGTAATCCTGGTACAGGGAGTTGTTTGACTAGCTCCAACAGGAGGCACAGGGACACCAGTTGGGGTCCCAATTTCATTTTTTTTCTCACGTTTTTTTGGGGATTTGTCTGACTAATTCTGACCACAGAAACATGATTTAGAGTACCAATTCCCCTAAAATGAAAAGAAAAAAAATCAAGAAAATTTTGCTTTAAATAGAGAGGAACAAGCAATTGAAGAATGGCTAACATTGCTGGATAGCCAGCCCAATGATGAAAGTGGCAACTAAATGAGGGAAGAAACAGAAGCAAATCCCCAGAAAAATCAGGAAGATAAGTTGATATCCTCTTACTTGAACTACCAGCTTAGAGTTTTTTTTTTTTTATCTTTTTGAGGGTGATGGTACAGCCCAAAAAATCCTGAATTGCCTGATAGACAGGAGGGATGATCTAGTTGGATGACTCTCAAATTTAGAAAAATAAACTAAAATTGGAAATATGTATATTAAAATTGGATGGTTAGGATAATAACTCTTGAATCTGGACAAGGAATTAGGAGATCAACTGAAGCTGGCCAGATTATGTTGACAGTAATAGGAGCAGCTGGATAAGAAATGGGAGTCAATTTTGGGTCTACCTTTTTGCACACCAAAAGATTCCCCCAGGGTCCATGCACACCAAAAAAAGGTGTGCATGAAGGTGCACTTCAAAAAAGGCTGGAGGGCCCGGTCACAGGTTGTGACTTGGCTGCGGCTCAGCCAGCCGGAGGAGACTATATCTTCCTCCCCCAGGACACACCAACCATTACAGCCTCTGAGTCACTACATCCATGAAGTCTAACTCTACAGACTCCACAGTATATCACCTCACTTGAAATAAACCACCATCAATCACCCTTGATCTCACAAAAAAGAGCTACTCATTTGATTTCCAAATGTCCATATCACTCACCATCTCAATCTCATCAATCTGAACAGTGAAATCCAAAACCGATCTCAACAAACACCGATTCCTTGTCAACAAATGGTGTGGTTATTCCTTTGGAAGTGTTTGACTTGATCACAATTGATGCTTGCTTCAGACCGGCGACCCCGCAAAATACCTGGGAAGGAATTTCTTGGAGTGCATGGGTACATATGCACTCCAAGATTTACAAAGTCCTTCACTCTAGATTGTTTGGATTGTACAGTGGGGGACACCATATTTCTGTAACACCCGGCCCGCAAAAGTTGAGTTGAACACGCGGGCCAAATGTCCATCCACCATTCAGGCCCAAAACCTTTGAAAGTGTCATTTTTGGACTCTTTGGAGGATGTACATCTGATATCTTATACGGTTTTGCAATTGGAGCAGTGGCTCTCTTTTTTTTTTGAGGTCAAGATTTCGGACACATGCTCCCAAACCTGCCAAATAAGCCCATAGTTATGGACTTATATGGGAGTACTGTAGTACAATAGATATGTACCCACATTGAGTCCGTGAAGTGAGTGAAGTGAGCTCATCAGGTAATGATGGTGCTTGTTGCAACAAGCGCAAAGGTTGATCAACAGGGTTTTCATTGTTGCTAGATGCGTGTTGGATTGGTTTTTTCCTCTGCCCATCTCTTTATCTGGGCTGTTGAAGCCTTACTCTTTGCCATCACTCTTAATATGGGTTGTGTAATATTTGTTTTAAAGGTGTGAGTGGTGCGATAGACCAATCACCTTTCAAAAAGTCCTCAGACCTAAGCCTCCCCTATCCCATCCCCCTACCCCCCGAGGGGGTTTTCAAAAAAAAATCCCACCCAACATTTCGGACACCCAAAAAGTTGTTACAGAAATATGGTGTCCCCCACTGTATATCTATAATATGTACTCCAAAAAAGCATCAAGTTTTGCCCCTTTTGGGGAGTGCAGGGTATCTTTTAATTCGTGTCCAAAAAGCCAAATCCTTGGGTTTGTCTAACCCCCTTATCAAATGATTTTACACTACATAGTCCAGCCTGCAGGTACTGATAGTTTCTGCCAAAAAAAAAAAACTCATCAAGTTTATAAACATAATCCCAATATTTCAAGTGGGACCCAAAAGATGCACTATACAGGTCTGGAATAAGATTCTGATGAGTTGATGGATGTTTAATTTGTCCTTGATATAGATTGCAGGCTCAATCCACATATTATAACTAAAAACCTCGAAACCCCAGACTGCTTACAGATCAATACATGAGTCCAAGTTGTATATGAGGGACCTTAGGTTTTCCCGTCGTTTGATGGAAGATGAGCTTCTCATGCTCACCAGATTCTCGAACTTAACACAAGTCCCTCCCTGCCACCCTGGGCCCGGAGGGCCCCCTCCCGCAAGGGAGGGACTTGCATGTAACGTCACTCACCTGGCCTGAGGGCATACAGCCAAATTGCCGGATACATTACTAAATCCCCCAGAAGACCCAGTACATAATTGAACCTAACAATGCCGTTCAGCATGAAAAAACACATGATTTTTCTGCTCATCATGGTGCTAGCCACTTCCTGTGAACCCTCTCCAATCTCGAGATATTGAACCTGATAAAAACTGAGAAATAAGCATCCGGTTGTATCTTGACCGGATTAATTGTCCGTTCTTACGCCTCCCTTGACAAAACTGACAAAACTGTCACATATTCTTTTGAACTACAACACAACATTTCTTATAATCAACACAACATTTCTTATAATCTCCTATCCGATCATGCGGGCAGGATCCGATGATCTGAAGCTTCCAAAAAGCAGGTTTTGGCGACTCACAAACTGGCCTCCTTAGAATGGAGGTAGCCGACTCAGTTTTGCTCACATCTGGATTTTCTTTTTTTTAGAAGACAGCCCAGATGCCAGGCCAACATCGCGTGAGGTCAGATTTGTGAATATCACTGAGGTTTCCTATGTACACAGGTTTTAAGGGAAAAAAGCATAAAATCGACTTGAAAACCTTAAATCCTCAGGCCTCGAGTCCCACTTACCATGTAAGCCTCTCCTTCGGAGAGCGTCCCGCAGGGACGCGGGGTCCCTTCGGGACCCTCCGATCGAGAGGCTTAGTTAAGCTCGCCAGATTCTTTGGGTGTTATTCTTTGAGGACAGTAGTGAGATGAACCAAGACAATCCAACATGCAAGCACCTCTAACTCTTATCTTTCCTTCTGCAGAAAGACCCATGACGTAGCTCAACCAACAACATAGATAGAGAGAGAGAGAGAGAGCTCCAGGCCGTGTAAGTCTGCAAGGCTCAAGGTTTGCAAGATCCCCTCAGACAAGCAGAGGCACTTCAGGCATATTGAGTCTTCTGCGGGCCAGTGCTTCACACCAGCAAGCCTCCCACCAGGGCCTCTCTCTGTCTCTTTCTCTCTCTGGCTAAAGGCAGCAGCTCAGATCAGCCACTCCAAAATTCAACGACACATAATCATCCCCATTCAAAAAGACCAAAAAAAAAGAAACAGGATGAATGAACAAGAAGGACATCTAACATGATAAGTGATGACGTTTATGATTTAGACAAAAGTGAAAGAATGAGCATGGTCTAGATTTTTGAGGATTTTATGGGAATCAGCGAGGCCGATGATCGGTTGAATTTTAGCATGATCGAGTTTAGAGAAAAGGACTTGAACGGAGACCTCCTTGACATCGACCGGCCCAAACGTCCCATCACCAGGAGCGCCATCCTTAGGCTGATTTTGCGAAGGAAGGAAGGGGAATTCATTGACGAACTCGAGATAATACTCGGGATGATACGGGGGCGCATAGAAGATGATTTGGCGGGCCCCGCGCAGCTTGTATCGATGGAAGAAGTGGAACCGTTCGCTGACTAACAGATACGAGACGTGGCGGTTGAAGAACGAGGATCGAGCGGCACTGATCTCGGAGGGTGTCGAATATCTGGAGGAGGTAGATGCGGGGCAAGGGGATGAGCTTTTTATTTTTCCTAAGAAGAAGAGACCCAATGATCCAAAAGAAATCACATGAGAAGGAGAGACACTGACTCAGAGATAGCAGCAAATTTCAGATCTTCGATCGATCTGAACAGATTTTCGAGCCTAACAAAGTCGAAGTAACTAGGGACGAAGACGAGAATTCCGGCGAGTCCTTCCTTAACGAGAGCAGATTGCTGGAGAGGGCCGAGGATGTTTTTCTGAAAGAAGTCGAAGCGAAGCTGATGATCCATCAAGGGGTCGGGACCGAGATCGAAGGCGCGCCAAGTCTGCTGGATGCCCGGGCGGACCTTAGCCACCAGCCCAACACTGTACGTCTTCGAGGTCTCGTGGAACTCCAGTCGCTTTCCACTCAGATTGTCTAGCTTGCGGAATAAAGAGTGTTGTTCGGCCGACGGATGGGCCGAGAACATCACGCTCTGTCGTAGATGGTGCGCCTGGGAATCTAAGTACCATGGCTTCACTCGCGAGAAATCCGTGTCTCGCGGCTTCTTCGGTATCCGATTTAGATGCTCAAACACAAACTAAATCAAAAAAAAAGATTACTTTCATCTTCTTGGTGTCGCCTTTTTTAAAGTAGTTCCATTTTTTTTGTTCTTGGACTCACTTCGACATGTTCCCAATTTTGCATTTGCATGACATCCAACTGATCGACGATAGAGATTTCGATTGAAGACAAGAAATCGGCATCCCTGAGATGAAAAAGAACAAACAGTCTCAGCCAAAAAAGAGGGGAAATGAATATAGAAAGGAGGATGACAAAACAGACCCTTCTTTTTCGATGAACTTCCGAAGCCCAACGGGACTTCCGATGACCAAATCAGCCTGGTAGAAGTCCGAGTAGAGGCGGATTTCCTTGCGGTTGAATTTGACGGGGAGGAAGAAGTCGTCGTCGACGTTGCCCCGAAAGATGATTCGATGGTCCAAGGGGTACTTGAACTTAGCGTCTTCAGCCTCCAGTTTATCCACCGTTCCGGGCGGCAAACTGTACTCCTTCTCGAACCGTTCCAGGCCCTTGACGGTCGAAGTAGATGCGAGTGAGATGAGACTGTGCAGCCAGTCTCGGGCCGAGGATCTGAACGGCAACAGCATTAAGACCTTCGGACGCGTGAAGCCTTGGTCGCGAATCTCTCTTTCTGCTTTCTGGGTTTTGCTTTTCTCTGATGGCTCGTCTCCAAGACCTTCCCCCTCCAAGTCGGACTCTAATATGGACTTCTTAGTGGATGGTTTGGGGGCCAATTGTGCAAGATGCTCGTTATTCTTGATGATCTCGGCTCGAGTTCTATCTCAACAAAGGAAAAGTAGATATCGAGGTGATGAGTACATGAGGCAACTTAGATGAATTAATTGAGGCTGACTTTAAGATGTGTTGAAGGGCCCATAGTGAGGTTGCGGTGCGTAGATGAGCGCGATGATGATCGTAGGGTATGCCGGTATGCCAGACATCCTGGTACTGATTAACAGAGTCGAAGAACCGAAGCTCGTGGGGATTGAACCGATCGAGGACAGGCTGAAGAGCTTTTGGGATCTATACAGAGGGAGCGTTGACTGTCAATACTTTTTCGAAAACAAAAAAAAGAGATACGGTCAAGGGTGGAGACTGACTTTGAGGGTGGGATTATTGGATGATGAGGGTGGGTCTGGTTCTTGTTGTTGATCGAGTTGGAAGGATACGATCCGTCGATGGTCTTGTGTTTTGGAATTCGATGCGACTTTCCAGCCGTCTTCCTTTTGAGCTAGTTGGAGTGCTTGAGGGTTGAGGAGAGTAGTCTGAGGCCCGAAATGATGATGGTATAAGTCTACTGAATTCGATTCATCCTCTTCTTGTTCTTCTGCTACTTGGTTTTCGGTTATTGTTGTTGTTGTTGTTGTTGTTGTTGTTGTTGATGGTGTTTTTGGTTTGATGGTTGCTTGTTTTGCGATTGCTAGCCAGTTTCTGTCTTGTCCTAGTTTTCGTTTCCGATTGTTTGTTGTTGTTGTTGTTGTTGTTGTTGTTGTTGTTGGTTTTGCTGCTGCTACGTTGAGCAGGGTGAGTAGTTTGATTCTTGCTGGGTCGATTCCTTCGTCGGTGTTCATCTTGAGTGTTTGTTTTCGTGCTGTGCTGGCTTAGGAGGTTTTTTGGTGAAATATATCCAAAATTCAAAATTCAAAATGAAGAAAAGTCAGAAACTCAAATTGAATAAAGTACTGGCTCAACTTAGGGTTAGGGCTCGGAGATTGTAATTAACTACTCTGCAAGAATCAAACACAAACAGAACAACAACAACATCAACATCAACATCAACAACCATGGCACCACCATCGATCTTCAGAGGCCCAGACGCAAAACATTATGCAGTCGTCCATCGATCTCAGAGAGACCCACTGATCAACGACCCCGAGGCAAGCGAACGAGTCCTACACGAAGTACAACGACAAAACGATACCAACAAACAACGCAAAAAACTCACAAAGGTAGGATTAGATCAATAGCCAAAGGAGAAATTAGAACTAACACTGTTTCTTATTTAACAGGGTCTCACTCGAGACGAATTAGAATCCTCACTTGGCCAAGATGCATCAACTCTACGATCAAATGTCGGCGAGGCATCGATGTATTCGATCTATTACGACGATTCCGAGTACGACTACATGCAACATCTCAAGCCGGTTGGAGTAACCAAAGAAGCCATCCTACTGGACAAACCAACGTCCACCAAAGAACCCCAAAAGTCTCAGTCCATCCAACTACGAGCCACATCCCCAGGAGGAGGAGAAGCAGGTCTACGACTTCCGAACTCGGTCCAACCCACCCCACACGAGCAGATGTTGTCCTACCAAGACCATCTTCAATACGCCCTCCCCTCCCACTCGGCCATCCCAGACCACGGCTTGCTCCCGGTCGACGACGACCCCGCCCTGCGGGAAGTCTTGGAGGCGCTGGAAGACGATGCGTATGTGGAGGAAGAGATTCAGGACGAGTTCTTTGGGACGATCGTCAAAGACGGAGAACGTGAGCCTGACGAAGAACCCGAATGGATCCATCAGGTCCAATCCTCCTCTTCGTCCTCGCAATGGGAATCCGAAATGGCTCGATTCAAAAAACCTCATTCCCAATCCATCGACACTGCCTCCTCTGTTGGACCCCTTTCCTCCGCTTCCTCCGATCAACGCAAACTCGCCCGCGCTTCTACTCATAAAAAACTGCAAGGCCGGGATAGTGTCAATGGGTCTGCTTTCAGTATGAGTAGTTCAGCTATGTTCCGGAACGAAGGGTTGACCGATCTAGATGATCGATTCGACCAAGTTGAGTTCCAATTCTCGTCTTCAAAACAAACAAGAGAAATTCACAAAGATGCTTCAACCGAACGACTGACCGATTGGCATTAATTTTTCTGGTATCCATAGATTGAAAAGGAGTATGAATCGGATGAAGAGTCCGAGGATGGATTGGAGGACGGGGACTCGGAGTGTTCGAATGAGACGGCGACGCCGGGCCCAGTGCGGGCGGATTTCGAGGAGATCATGGATGATTTCCTGGAGCGATTCGAGGTCCTAGGGGGCAAGATGAAGCCGGTGATGAGCGGCAAGACGGCGGCGGAGAAGCTCGACACGCTCCGCACCGAGCTCCTCGGGCCCAACGATCCCGACTCTCGCGCCGAACGCGCTGCCGTCAAGGAGCAGATCCTCCAGAAACTCAAGGCCGATCAACGCGCTCATGATCGTCAGGCCCTTTCCTCCTCTGCAATCAAGTCTCATCAGGAGCGCTTCATGACCCTTCCGAACGACGACCATCTGCAAAATAAATGGGACTGTCAAACGATCTTGAGTACATTCAATCCCCACTTCTCTGAAAACAAAAAATCAGATCAAGTTTCTGATTCTGTCGTTGTTTATAGCTACTTATTCAAATTTAGAAAATCATCCCAGAGTGATCAGGATACGAGATGCGATCGGAGCAGACAATCCAAACAAGAAGAACAAGAAGAAGGCTGAGCAGGAGGAGCAGGAGTCATCGATGGTCAGCTCGGAGCCGAAGATCGGGATCGATAGGATCACTGGGTTCCCGATCGTCAATGGACAAATCATAAAAGGAAATCAATCCATCCATCATCTTCCTAAGAATGGAAATACCCCCACAGAAGATGAAGAAGATGATAGTGACAGTGATGGAGATAGTTCGGGTATGTCTCTCGTTCTGGGTTGTGGTGTTCTTGACTTGATCTTTCGGATTAATCTCGGCCTTTTTTTTTACAACAAAACCAAAGGTTCGGTTAGGGGGACTATGAAACGGGACCGTCATGAAGACAAGGAGGCGAAGAAAGCGCGGAAAGCTGAAGTGAAAGCCGAACGAGCCGTACGTCCCTCTTCTCTCTCTCTAGTGCTTCTCTCATCCTTATAGGATTCCTTACAAACAAATCGTTGATTGGCGTGGGTTTCCGATCGGATCGGGATGGCAGGCCCGTCGGCAACAAAAGAAATCCGTCAAGCTGACGTTCAGTTGTCTCAAGAATCAACAAGATAAGATTCATTCAAAGCTGCTTAGTCAGAAGTCTAACGATATTGCTGGCTTGGGTGGGAAAGGTATCATGACTTTACTTTAAGATATCATAACCAAAAAAAAAAAAAATCTCTGTGGTCCTGGTTCCTTTGTTTTGTTTGATCGTCTTCTGGTTTCTTGTTTTTTTTTTCGCTTCTTTTCATGTTTCTTGTCGTTTTTATGTTTTTATTTTTTTACATTTATCATTGGTTTACAACTTGAGCAAGCAAGCAAGGATTCAGATCATTGAATCCAGTCTTTTAATTCTGTTGGTTTGTCAGTGTTTCCTCGTACGGTATGATGTAAGTACCGCTGAGGGATGGATATATGCCCTGAAAGTATGCTACTGTTGCTCTGCTAAATTCCATGGAGCCAACCGTGATAGGGTGAGATGGACAGAATCACAGCTTGTACCCTGATGAAATACGAATCTTCCTGTCAGAACTCGGGGTTTTCGGGTGCCCCCCGGAGTAAAGTAAACCACACCAATTACTCATTGCTGAAGGCAAGACCGATCTGTAAAACTCAGCCAGGCCTTGAAATTATTATCGATCGATCGGACCCAACTCCCATAGATGAGACACCACTACCATCAAAACAGCCTTCCGTGTATCAGAGTTTACAGCGTCCATGGCCTCGTCCAGCCCTTCAACGCGTCCGGATAGATTCGTGGAATTCACTACTATCGGTCCGTCTTCATAACCCATCATCCACTGAATGTGATAACTTCATGACGTGCTGAGACTTTTTACTTGTTGTTTTGTTTGGACGAGCTGTTTGCAGACTGGTTTCAGGACGCTTTCCGCGAACGTAATCGGCGCAAATTCGAGGACCGTTATCACTCTAGTTCGGCCCCTATCAAATCGATCGTCAATCTCTATGGCTCAGCCCAAAGTTGGCTTGTCGTCGGATTAGTAGGTAAGCCCAACCACATGAATCCCCCAAAAACCGGGGTTTTTTTTTTGTGTGTGGAAATGTAAATGAGCTCTTAAAAAAAGGGAGGACATATTGATTGATGAAGTGTTGGACAGGGGCGATGATTGGACTGAATGCGGCGTTGATATCGATCATTACCGCATGGTTATCGAACTTAAAGATGGGATATTGTCAGCAAGGATGGTGGTTGAACGAGAAGTTTTGTTGCTGGGAGATCGAGCGAAGCACGCATTCGCGGGAAGAAGTGTTGATCGGCTTAGGAGGGGCGAGTGGGGTGATCGGAGCGGGAGGGACGGAGGAAGGGTGCGAGGATTGGCAGACCTGGACGGGGCTGGGGGCGGTGCGCTATTTGGGATACGTGTTTTACAGCGTGTTGTTTGGCTACATGGCGGCCAAGCTCGTCAAGGGATTCTCGCCGGCCGCCGCAGGCTCGGGGATCTCAGAGATCAAGTGCATCCTCTCCGGCTTCGACAAGCCCGGCTTCCTCAGCTTCTCTACCCTCGCTATCAAGAGCATCACCCTCCCCCTCGCCATCGCTAGCGGCCTCAGCGTCGGAAAGGAAGGACCCAGCGTCCATATGGCCGCTTGCATCGGCTTCGTCCTCGCTAATCAGTTCCACAGATTCCGTAAGAGTCGTCGGAAAATGAGGGAGCTCGTCACCGCCGCTAGTGCTGCTGGTGTCGCAGTAGCCTTTGGTAGTCCCGTCGGCGGCGTATTGTTTGCTTTTGAGGTATGAATCAGTTGGGTCACTACTGCTACTACTACGTTTCATCATCATCTGTTTGTTTTCGTTGGCTCACATCCTAACAATCTTCTTTTTGATTTGATATTCTCACGCTCTTATCAATCAGGAAATGACGATATCCTTTCCGATTAAAACCATGTGGCGAAGTTTCTTTTGTGCTATGATTGCCACGGTAACCTTATCAGTCAGTTCTATTCTCCTTACTTTTTAATATCAAGCGATTCAGACGGGATCTAAAACTCATGTTTTATGAAAAAAAAAAAAAGTTCAGCTAATGAAGTCTCTAAATGGTATGGTGTTTGGACAAGTAGGCAGTGAATCCATTCCGGACGGGCAAGCTAGTACTATTCCAAGTATCGTATGACCGAGACTGGCACTTTTTCGAGATAGGATTTTTCGTGTTGATCGGGCTATTTGGGGGCCTCTATGGGGCGTTTGTGACGAAGTACAACCTGCAAGTGGCGGTGTTCAGACGACGTCATCTGGCCAACTCGGCGATTTCCGAGGTGGTCTTTCTGGCCGGACTGACGGCGATCATCGGCTATTTCAACATGTTCCTCAGGATCGACATGACCGAAAGTCTCGAGATCTTGTTCCGTGAATGCGAGGGTGGCGGGGATTACGATGGGCTGTGTCAGTGAGTGTCAGCCTTCCGCTCTCTCTCTTCATTCACCGCTCATCTCATCATCATCCCTCTTTTTTCCCCTCTTGTTGGATTGGTTTCCTGATGAGAACAGGTCTTGGGCTCAGTGGCAAATGGTCAACTCTCTCCTGCTGGCAACCGTCATCAGAGCTTGTCTGGTCGTTCTTTCGTTCGGATGTAGGGTGCCCGCTGGGATATTCATTCCGTCGATGGCGGTGGGAGCCACATTTGGTCGGATGTTGGGCATCCTTGTCAAGGCTCTTTACCGGTACGATAAACACTAACGTTTCTTCCCATCTTCCGGTTTCACTCGTTGCCTTTCTCGGAAGGGATTATCGATTAAATTTGATGATTCCCAAATCGTCTCTCAATAACAAGAACTTGACTATCTCTTTTTTGCTCCTCATTCCCCACTGACTTTCAGGGCTTACCCCCATTGGACAATGTTTTCCGCCTGTGATCCTGAGAAGCCTTGTATCACTCCTGGAACTTACGCCTTGCTGGGGTCTGCGGCTGCCCTTGGTGGGATCATGCGGATCACCGTCTCCGTTGTGGTGATCATGTTCGAGCTCACTGGGGCTTTGACTTACATCTTACCAACCATGGTCAGCTTCCTTTTTCTTTACGACTTTTTTCATTGCACACTTAGGGTTATTTATGTTTGAATAATTTTCTAGGTAGTTCTTTTGGTTACCAAGGCAGTGTCGGATCAACTGGTGAAAGGACATGGGGGGATCGCGGACAAGATGATCCACTTGAACGGCTTCCCGTGTCTTGAGAAGGAAGACCATCTGCATGGCTTGGCCGTTGGGGCGGTGATGACCGGCCGGGCACACGGGGTCAAGCTAGCTAATGAGACCCATCAGGTCGATTTCTCGGCAAGCTCGGGTCACCTGAATCCTAATAGTACCGCCCTCGCTTTGCCCAGCCAACTCCCCCTTCATGAACTGAAGACTATCCTGGGCACCGAACGCAACGGACGCGCTAAGGGCTTCTCCGGCTGGCCTATCGTATCCGATGCGCTCGATCTGTCGATCCTGGGCTACGTCTCTTCGGCCGATCTCACAAAAACTATCAGTTTAGTCCCCCCCCTCCTGTTTCCTTCTTCCTTACACAAACATCCCTCTCCAGAGTAATGCTCTTTCACAATGATATCTGATGCCATTATTTATGGATCTCTTGTATTGATACGGTGCACAACTATCATGGTTTTTTTGAATAGATGATGCGACATTGACGAGATTTTCAGACGATGTGATCGTAGTTCTTTCAAGAAAATCGCGCAAAGAGAGGCAAGAAGAAGGAGAAGAAGAAGAAGGCTATGGAGTCCACGCAGGATCGAGCCATCGGATGTTCGAGAGACTCGATCTTTCGTACCTCGTCAATCCGACGCCCGTCCGGGTTAATCCTAAACAACCCCTGGAAATGGTGGTCTCTTTATTCAAAAAGATCGGGTGAGTTTTTTTTTTTGTCTGTCGATGGACCTGGCAGGTCTATAATAACAAACTGATGTTTCTTTTTTTTTTTCAGGCCTCGGATGGTTTTAGTGGAATCCAATGGATCCTTAGTGGGGCTGATCACATTGAAAGATTTGTTACGGTATGAGGGCCGCGGGGCGAAGCAGGATGGGAGTGGTCCAGGTCGACGCCTCCGGCTGGATGGCCCGTCCCACAAACCCCACGCCGACCAACAAGATGAGAATGGGAATGATGATGGTGATGATGATGAGGAGGAGGAAGCCGGGGATCTGGAGGAGTTGTTGGAGGACGCGAAAGACTTGTGTAGGGATCTGCGCGCCGCTTGGGTTCGCTGGGTTAAAGGCCCTGCCGCGGCGTCCGCTTCTTCTCATTCTTCTGCTACCCATCATACTATTTGATTACTCTATTTTTTTTTGTTGTTTTTTTTTGGTAGGGGGGGGGATCTCTCCCATCCCATCGTTGATCTCTCTCATCCTCTTTGGTTGTGAATTCTTGTGGTTTGCAGCTTATAGATTTGCGTGATCTTGTGTTTTTCGTGGATCTTGGTTATTAATTATACTCAGAAAGCAAATCAAATCTAATAGAGAATAATTAATGGTGATTGAATGGATGTATTTTACAAGATCAATCTATTCACAACATTTTTGGCTGTTGTGATTTAGAGCGAAAAGTTGAAGTGTGTGGGTAACTTTGAGTCAGATGTTCGGATGCCTTCTTCTATGCCTTGTACAAAAATGTTTGATGGTCTTTCAAACAAGTTGATAACACCAATCAGGAATATTCAGAAAATATTTGAAGGGTTTTCCTGACTGTTGTTGGATGCGGCTGAGCCGCAGCATATAAATATTCTTTGATTGCCCACATCTTTGGCCAAAGAATTAATACAACCACTCTACCCTTTCTCATCTTTTCCCATGGACTCAACACAGGAACGACCATCCAAGCGCAAGAAAACAAACACCAAAGAGATCTTCTCGTCCCCCTTGGATCAACAACTGGTTAGCACTAACACTCACCCTCATTTTGGCCTTTGTTATTTTTTTTTTTGGAAGGGATGGACAATTAATCAACCATCCACACTTGTTCTTTTCTTCTTTTGAATAGACTCTTGCCCTTAGAAATGTTTCGCGGGCTACAAAGAAAGCAAAGGCATTCGAAATCCAACATTTGGTTAGAAAACTTCGACTAGTCAAGTGAGCAGCATTCTCATATACATGTGTATTTGGAGAAATTAAAGAAACTCTTCTTTATTGACTGATGCTTGATATTCAAACTCTGTAGGGAAGGTAAACCGATTCAAAAGAAAGAGGCTAGTGCGATAGATCCCGCAAAATTGGAAGCCGATCTGAGTAGCTTCAAAGTCAGTCCCTTACAGGGCTCTCCTACTAACTTATCAAATAATAATGAACCATCTGTGATCTGACTCTCTTTCATCCTGCTTCTCTAGTCGATTAATGTGGAAAATTTGTCAAAGAAAATTCTGTATACTCGGCTCAAACGGCAATCACCTGAGGCAGTTACTCACTCGATTTTTGAAGAGCTGCAAGACTCAGATCGACCGATCCAATTGGACCGGATCGAGAACAAAATCAGCAGCCAGAAAACTTTGGCCGATCTGATCAAGCAAACCGTCTCCAAATTACTTCTCCATCTCCGGCCTGATTCTATCGAGCAAATCGACCCGAAAACTAAGAAGTCTTCTTCAACCACCTCCCAGAAATCACCAGCCAACGGTCGAGCTTCGGCCAAACAACCTCGCGCTCGAAACGGATCATCTGAGCAGGCTGACTCTGAGGATCATGATGAAGAGCTCTTAGGTGACGAACTTGATGAAGCAGTGGCACGTGAATTAGCTGGTTTAGAGGCTGGATCAACAGGAGAAAGCAGCACTGACGCGGAGCAAAGCCGAAGAAACCACTCAGATGATGATGACGAGCCCAGCGACTCCCAGTCGGACCGGTCAGACGAGAGCCAAAGTCTATCCGGCTATTCATCAGAATCATCGACACTACAACCAGCCCCAACTAAAAAAGCCAAGTTGACCAAGCCTTCTACGGCCACCAAACTCGCCACCCGGGCTTCCTCTTCTACTTTCTTGCCCGCCTTGAACGTTGGTTACACGCTCGGTGACTCGGATGCTTCTGATCTGGAGATCGACGACCTGGCCGTAGACAAAATGGAACGTGAACGGGGACGCAAGAATCGGAGAGGCCAACAGGCTCGCAGAGCGTCAGTCTATTTCCTCCTCCTCCCGTTTCTTTTGAAAGACACTAGAAGATTGATGTCGTATGTGCGGTGAAATCTTTGTTAGTATTTGGGAGAAAAAGTATGGGAAATCCGCCAAACATTTGGTCAAACTGAAGCAGAAAAGATCAGATCATCCTGGGATTGAGAAGCATGAATCAAGAGACCCACACAGGAGATCAGAGACTTCTACTGATCGGTTCAAGAAAGCTGAGAATGGCACGATCAGTTTGACTGGCTCGAACTCAGAACCTATCGCATCCACTACCAAAAAATCTGCTGCTGCTGCTGAGACTAAGATGCATCCGTCGTGGATCGCTAAACAAAATCAAATTAAAAGTCTCAGTGAGGTTAAACCTGCTGGTAAAAAAATCGTCTTCGATTGATTTGTTTGCAACTACATACATAATATATACCCCAATTTGTTGTCGTAGATTTCCTTCCCTCTGGATTCACTTTACATCATGTAATATCTAATGTTAAACGTCTTCAGTTCTTCAATACAAGACTTTGATCTATAGTTTGAGTGTATAATTGCTGTGTCTGTGTGATTTCCCCCGGGGGGTTCTTCCCCAAATCAGTCCCGAGTCCACAGCTTGGTCTCTCTTGTTGCCATCCTCTCCAGCCGATGACCACGATGATCGATAGGACTCGAAGGGTGACGATGCCCTTATCACGACTCAGCCGATCAGCTTCGAAGACCAAGCTGTTTTATCAACCTATCCGACCGATCATGACTGGAACTCACGCCGATAAGCTGGGCCAACTGACGCGGTCGATTCAGGACTGGTTCGACTCGCCCAGGTTTTCGAACACCCAACGCTCGTATTCGGCAGAGCTGATAGCCACAAAGCGAGGCAGTCTTCCGGTCCATCAGGATTGCTATGCGAACCTCCAAGCCAGGAAGTTGCGCAAACTGCTCACTGACGCACAGCAGACTCATCAACCCGTTCTGACCATGGGCGCACTCGATCCGGTCCAACAATCCCAGATGGCCCATCATCTGCCGGTGGTCTATGTTAGTGGATGGGCTGCCTCGAGTACCTTTGTCCCGGGAACGCACGAGGTCGGGCCCGATCTAGCAGACTATCCGTACCACACCGTGCCCACGGCCGTCCAAAGACTCGTCAAAGCTCAGCAACTACATGAGCGCAAAGAATGGGATGCTCAATGTTCGGAGACCGATATGGGTCGAGAACCGGTGGACTATCTGAAGCCGATCATTGCGGATGGAGACAACGGACATGGAGGACTATCGACGGTGATGAAGCTTGCCAAGGCGTTCGGGGAGGCCGGCGTGGCGGGGGTGCATTTCGAAGACCAACTGGTAGGAGGGAAGAAGTGTGGCCATCAGGCGGGCAAGGTGTTGGTGCCGACGTGCGAACATCTGAGTCGACTCAGGGCGGCCCGGATGCAATGGGATATCATGGGTCTCGAGACCCTCTTGATCGGCAGAACTGACGCCGAAAGCGCCAAGCTCATCAGCTCTGATCATGACCCTCGTGATCATCGCTTCATTCTCGGAATCGAAACTTCCGCCCGGACGCTCAAAAAAGCCTTGGCTGAGGAAATCATCCTCGCTGAGGAACGTGGCGCATCTGGTGAAGAGATTAATGAGATGGAGAAGAAATGGACAGATTCAGTCGAGCTAATCACTTTTGATCAAGGTGCTTTCACTTCTATCCTATTTCACGCCAGGAGAATTTTGAGTCTGATAGATGTGAATCGAAAAACAAAAAAATGACGCTTTAGCCGTTGGACGAGCTTTCGAACGACACCAAATCCCATCGAGCAAATATGCAGAATATCTGAAAGAAGTCGAAGCCAAAGAGCTATCACACCAAGCCTCATCCAGGCTTGCGATCGAGATGATCTCGACCAGCACCAATGGAAAGCAGACGCCAGAGAAGATAGGCTGGAATTCGCAACTTGCTCGGACCAGGGAAGGCTATTATAGGTTCAATGGCTGTCTCCAAGCCGCCGTTAATAGGGCCTTGAAGTTCTCGCCCGTCGCCGATCTCGTTTGGATCGAAACTAAGGAACCCGATCTCCAGAAGGCTCAGTCTATCGCTGCTCAAATCCATCATCAATTTCCTAATCAGTTTCGTTCATCCTAATTCTTCTCATTTTCCTTTCCTTATCACTGATATTACTTTTGTTTTTTTCAACCCCCCCAAAAAAATGGAATGATGTAGGAATCTCGTTTACAATCTTTCGCCCTCTTTTAATTGGTCTCATCACGGCTTTTCGGATGAAGATTTGAAGGGATTTGTATGGGACCTATCTCGGGTCGGCTTCAACCTGCAACTGATTTCCTTAGCGGGTCTACATTCGACAGCGACGATGACGGGTGAGTGCATAGTCTACCCCGAGCTCTCTCTAGGAGCAAGCCCAAAGGTGTTCAAGAGAGATTTTTTTTTTTTTTTTTTTTTTTTTCAATTGGAACATATACAGCTCAATTGGCTAAAAGGTTTAAAGAGGACGGGATGCTCGGGTACGTCCAGTCCATCCAACAAGTCGAGAAGCAAATCGGCTGCGACGTGCTCAAGCATCAGAAATGGAGCGGATCCGAATACATCGACCGGATCTTGAGTGGTGAAGTCCCCTCTCCTCTTCCCTTTTCTTCCCTTTTCTTACTTACTCACTAATAGTCTGTTTGTGTGTGTTTTTCTGTCGGTGGCTTCAGCTGTCTCCGCTGGCTCTTCTGCTACAGCTGCAACGGGGGCCGACTCGACTGAAAAAACTTTCTGAAGCATGCATTTTTTTTCTTATTCATGTACATTTTGTCGTCGTCTTTTAGTTGTACTATGTAGCCGTCGGGCTACATATCTGGGAAACCCGACCGCTACTTAAAGCGGCTGGTTGGCTTAGCCTAGTCCAAGCCCCTTGGCTCACCCTTTATAATTACTATGTACGATATCAAGAGTGTTTTGCATGTTCAATACATCTTCGAGACGACTTCGCCAACCAGGAAATACAGCGGCGGTACCATCGAGAACGTCGACCGTCGAGATTAGCGACGAGACGTTCTGGACTTGTCGAGCAGACTTCCTCACGATTCAAAGCAAGAAAAAACTAATTAGAGTAGCGCATCGAGCGATTGGTATGTTGGCTTTGAGTCTGAGTTTCAGAGGATGGAGAGAAGGGTTTTCGATGTGAATAAGAGCGAGACAAGAAGGTCTCATAACCTGTTGAGGGACACCAGGGACTGAAAACACTGACTGATGTTGAGACTCACGAGAGACGTCAGTAGTAATGGACAGCTTGATATAAGCATACCTAAGTACAAGCATACGAGTACTACATACGGGATTGAACCAATCCAACATATTCTCTTGAAGATCATCCAATTTACAATCTATCTACTTCAGCTTACGATTACATCATCCAAAGTAAACCTTTTACCAAACCCTATTTGCCCTGTGCCCGGCCCTGCCACGACTACTAGCATCAGTCTATTTATTTGTCTATATCTGATTGGCAATGGCATTAATAACTTAATTTTTAGCTCATTTGAGGCATTTTTTATTTTCTGGATAAAATAGCTCATTTTGGATTGATTTTTACTCCTGAGTCATTTTGTAAAAAAAAAAGCCTCAGGAAATTGACCTACTTTCCACCACCCAAATTGCCATTTTTTTTCCTGGGACAAAGCTGGGATTGTTTGTAGTGTGATCAAAAACCCCAAATCAGGGCTTATGCTGGTTTGCCCTCATACTGTATATTTGGGGTGGGTTCTTGTTGGAATTTAGCCATCATCGTTCCTTTCCTCTTTTCTTCTCTGTCACACACATTAGAGATGGTCGAAGGGTATCCGTCGCGGATACCCGTTATCCGCTGGCGGATACCCGCCTGTGCCAACGGATACCCGCCAGCGTGTGCGGATTCGGGTGCGGATGGCCCCTTTTCCGCAAATCGCCGGCGGGTATCCGGGTATCCCAAAGGATACCCGCGGCCGGGAGGGGAGATGGCCGGCTGGAAGGCAACCCTTCCAGCCGTACCATCGCCGGCCCTTTAGAGGGCGGGGTATCCGAGGATACCCGCTCGGATACCCGCTGCGGTAGAGGGCGGGTATCCGAGGATACCCGCTCGGATACCCGCTGCGGCCGACGGATACCCGCTAGCGGGTGCGGGTGCGGATGCGGATGTGCAATTTCGCTGAAATTGCCATCGGATATCCGCATCCGGACGGGTATCCGGATGCGGACTGACCATCTCTAACACACATGTCACTCCTTCCTCATCTGTCATTCTTTTCTCTCTCATTTCCAGATGAATATGCTTCTTCACCTTCTGTCCCACAACTCAGCCATAATTTGTATGTAGATAAATAACCATGCTTTCTGAGTTAGAAAATGAGACCATCAGTCTTCTGCAAAACTTTTCCCTGTGGTCTCTAAAAGATACAACCACTTGTAGCGTGAGTGCTTTTCCCCCACGCACACTAGCAGCTCATAGCCCCTTTTTTGGGCTCTTTGACCACCAGTTTTTTCTCTTGAGTCTTTAGCCTCAAGATTTGTTCACCGGTCCTTTGTCCCCAGTTCACTCCGCCTTGTCCCTTAATTTCATCACGATTAACAGTCGAAAGTCGACTAAATCTTTCCACAACTGTCTTGAATTCTTTGCCTAACATCAAAATATCTTGTCAGCATGACCAACTCCCGAACCTCACCGCTCCTCCTCAATGATACCAATTATACAACTTGGTCGTTTCTCATGACCGCAAAACTCAGCAAACTTGATGTACTAGAAATCGTTCTTGGATCCATCAAGAAGCCGGAGCTTGACGACATCAAGAAGCCAAACGATCAGTACTTGGCTTATTGCGAATCAAACCGAGTCGCCTATATTGAAATCATTGAACATCTCAATAGTCATCACCTTGCATATGTCGCTCAGATCCTCAACGACGACAACTCATTCTGCAGATTCTCGGTCTGGCAGATTCTGAAGAAAAAATATGCCGGCAACAACTACTCCTCCAAGGACACCGCTCTTGAAAAGTTCCTCAATCTTGAATACCATGGGTCGACATCCAAATTCATTTACGAAGCACGTGCCGCAAACCATAGATTAACGACTGCAAAAGTTGGCCTTGACGATCAAGTTAAGACAGCGATCATACTTTGCAAGCTGCCATCAGAGTTCCAGTCATTCAGAACGGTTGTCAGCATCGGATACCCTCACGACTCTGTACCCACAATGCTCTCACGATTGGAGAAGCACGCAACTCAGAATCATCTCGATCGATCATCAACATCCATTCCCTCTCCTCAAGCCTTGCTCACCACCGATGAAAAGTTCTACATGTGTCCTCATTGTAAGAAAGGATTCACAATCTGTTCTCACTGCAATAAAGCCGGACATAAAGAATCAATATGCTTTGAAAAGCACCCTGACTGACGTCCTGCAAAGCCTTCCGCCTCTGCCTCATCGTCCAAATCCAAGCCGGCCGCTCAAGCTCATTTAGTGTTCTCTGCTCCTCACGGCTTCACCCCTGAACAAGTTGAAAGTGAACAAAATTTCCAAGCGATGCTAGCCAACCCCGAATTTCAGAAACTCAACATCAACGCTGAATATTGGTTGTAGGTTCTGTGGTTCATCAGTGGGGGGGGGGTGTTGGAATTTAGCCGTCATCGTTCCTTTCCTCTTTTCTTCTCTGTCACACACATGTCACTCCTTCCTCATCTGTCATTCTTTTCTCTCTCATTTCCAGATGAATATGCTTCTTCACCTTCTGTCCCACAACTCAGCCATAATTTGTATGTAGATAAATAACCATGTAGAGATGGGCCCGGCGCATCCGGATATCCGTTCGGATTTGGATATCCGCTCGCGTTTTCAGCGGAATCAGACATCCGCATCCGCATCCGCACCCGCCAGCGGGTATCCGCTGGCGCTGGCGGGTATCCGCGCGGATATCCGCGGATATCTGCCCCTTAAATGACCCCTAGGGTGCAAAATGAATGTTACGTGGGGAAATTTCAGATTTGGGGGGCTGCATAAACACCAATTTTGAAGTCCTGGTAGCCTGCAAGCCTTCAATTTTTTTTTTTTTTTTTTTCTTCCTTTGCTGCTTGCACTGCCAAAAAATAGTTTTAATTTTTTGTTTTGTTTTTTAATATATATATATTTCCTTTTTATTTTATTCGTTCTTTTTTGTTTTTTGTTTTTCTTTTTGTTTTTCCTTTTTGTTTTTCTCTATTTTTTTTTTCTTTTGTTGCTCACAGCCTGTGACACTCCCAAAAAAATGGAAAAAATAAAAACAAATTTTTTTCTTTGCAATTTTTTTTGTTGCTTAAGTTGCAGCCAACTCGTGTATGACTTGTATTTTTGAGGTGAACCAGTAAGAGTGACAGAAAGCAAGGAAAGAAAGAGAATCAAAAAAATTTTAACCCGTGTATGACATTTGTATTTTTGAGGTGAACCAGTGAACTGTGAGAGTGACAGAAATAGATTGAGAGGAGCAAAGAAAGAGAATGGAAATCTTTTTGTTGCTTGCAGCTAACTCGTGTATGACATTTGTATCTTTGACGTGAACCAGTGAGAGTGACAGAAACAGATTGAGACTTGAGAGAAGGAAAGAAAGAGAATGGAGAAATAAACTAAAATGAAACTAATATTTAATCAATCAATGACGACAGCAACAGTTTGCGCGCCACGAGCGCTTTGAGTTTGACTCCCACCAGTGCTTTGACTCCCACCAGTCCTCTTCGCCTTAGTCCTAGCTTCGTTGTTCTTTTTTTCCATGTATTCGTGGAGCTCCAGAGGTTTGATCTTGTTGTTCTGTGAATAAAAAGCCAACACCATACCTGTACTTACTGATTGTGGGTGGAGATTGTGTTGCCTAGTGGTAACATAGTCTCTACCAAAGCTGAACGGACGCTCTACGTCTACCGTTGTTGCTGTGCAAAAAGTCAGAAACAATGATCAGCATTCTGATTTTGAGATCACTGATTTACTGTGAGTCTTGAGTCTTACCTGGGCAACACAGGACATCAAGGGCCATCTGTTCAAGGCCTTGATGTTGATCTCCACTCTGTTTTTGCTCCGTCCACCACTTGAGGGCATCAATCGGTCGCCGTTTATCCAAATACAGGGGACCTGTGAGCCATCTGGTAATGGGGTCACTCGAGGGGGCCGCAATTCGAGCTTCAGCAGCATCACCTAGACCTGCCAGGACCCCAGGTTGCGGCTGGTGGAGGATTTGATCAGTTGATTTGGATCAGAAGAGGGAAGATTAAATGGAACTTACCCATCCTGATTCATCTTCCAGTTCTTCTGCACTTGGGTTCTGATCACGTTCAGTTTGTACCACTATGTACATCTCGCG